CTCTCCCACTCTACGATCTACCACCTACCAGCGCCCAGCGCTGAAGACTACAGCTACAGCTATGGCGCCCAGCGCCGAAGACTACAGCTAGCGCTACTACTACTTAGCGCTGGAGACTACTGCAGCGCTCCTCCTGAGTGCTGCGGCCAAATCCTGAAGACTACCCGTGCCTACTGAAACTACCTACCCGTGAAGTGCCTGGGAAGTCCCTATGTGCTCTCATCGTGCCAACCGTCCAGGAGGCTGCTCTTGCCAATGCCGAAGGCAGGCAGGGGCTGCAGCTGCAGCTCTTGCCCGAGCACATGAGGAACAGGCTATTTCTGGCCTGTTCCGCCTCCCTGTTTACGTGCCTGAGTCTTAGGGGCAGGTCGAAACAATGAGGGCCTGAAAATGGCCCTCCGTTTCAGGCTGAAAACTTTGGGTCTGAAAAGACCCAGAAATAGGCTGAAACGGAGTAGGGCCTGCAGGCCCTCGTTTTTCAGCTTTCTGGCTGAAACGACCGGGACGGGCCCTGCAGGGCCCGTGTGGCTACGCAGTATGMCMCCCCCCCCCCTCCTTGAAGAACCGAGCTTACCTGCGAGGGCGAAGCTGTCTGTCTGAGGGAGGGGCCACAGTCCGGGCGGGAGGGGCTGGTCGTGAAGCTTCCTGAGCTAACCTCCGCTTTTCATAATGTGCGTACATCAGCGGTGCGGATGCTTTCAAATCTGCGCCTGAAATCCACCGAGTGTCGTCGCGATCGCATGCTTTGAATGTGACTTTGTGCTGCCGCGGCTTGCTGTCGTACTTGCGATCGGAGATGACGCGGTCAACTTCCTGATGGCCATCCATAGAAGGAGGGTCCTGCGATCGTCGGTCCGGAAAGTCGTCGCTCTTGGCTGGCGTGTATGTTGCCAGCTTCGAGGCGTGGAAGACCGGATGGACCGTCAGATGCTGTGGAATGTTGATCACAAATGAAGGGCCATCGGGCTCATCGCCTGCGGCTGCTGTCACCGACCAAGGTCCAAACCACTTGGGAAGCAGTTTGCGTGAAACATCCTGTTCCAGTGCAAACTCGTTCGCGGAGACCCAAACCAGATCACCGGCGCGGATGGGACATGGTACCCGACGCCTGTTGGCTTGCTGCTGCATGCGGACTTGAGCCTTGTGCACATTTGCGCGGGCTTGAGTCAGCAATTCCCTGTACTTCTGGACGGAAGCGGGAAAGCAGGCAGCGTCAATGTCGGCTGGTCGAGGGAGGAGAAGGTCGGCGAAGATACGGCCTTTCTGTCCACCGTGGTGCAACTCAAATGGAGTTACGCCGATCGCCGGGTGCACCGAAGTGTTGTAGGCGAACTCGATGTCGGGGAGGCGGTCAACCCAATCTTTCTGATCCGGACGGATGAGCGTACGAAGCATCACTTGAGCAGTTTGATGTGCCCGCTCCGTCTGCCCGTCTGTCTGAGGATGTCGAGCCGAACTTGGTTTCATTGTTGTGCCGGATTCCTGCATGAGAGCAGTCCAAAATGCCGACATGAAACGAGTGTCGCGGTCGCTGACAATGTCTTCTGGTACACCGTGGCCACAAATCCAACCAGTGTGCAGGAGGCGTGCCAGCTCTGGAGCCGTGGAGTAGTACTTGCAAGGGAGAAAACGCGCGTACTTACTCAATCGGTCCACGACCGTGAGGATGCCGTCATGCCCGAGCCGGTCGCGAGGAAACGGACTGGTGACGTCCATGGCAATGGAGAGACCGGGTTCCCGTGGGATAGGCATCGGGTGTAACTCGCCATAGGGATTGCGGTTGCGGGGCTTGCTGCGTCAACAAACTTCGCAAGAGTCGCAATACCGAGTGACATCGGTAATGAGGTCGGGCCATCGGAATCGCTGTCGAAGCCGTGCAATAGTGCGGTTGGCTCCGAAATGGCCGGCAAGTCGTGAATCATGATACTCGCCGAGGAGGCGAGTCCGAAGACGACGGTCGCGTGGGACACATAGTAAGTCCTTGCCTCTCGAGTGGAGGAGCAAGTACCTGTCGGCAATGCGGTAATGGCTGGCCGGCAGGTGATCCGAAGATAGCTGTGCATAGAGCGTGCCGAGGTCCGGATCAGACTGATATGCCCGGATGAAGTGTCGCTGAAGCTCCTCGTCGAATGCGAAGGCAGGATGTGTCATAGCGCAAAGAACAGGTCTTCGCGAGAGTGCATCTGCTGCGCGATTGGAGAGGCCGGGGACATGTTTCGGTGTGAAGTCAAATTGGTCGATGAAGTACATCCATCGTCCGATCGTGCTGCTCACCGTGTCCTGCATCTTATAGTAGGTCAATGGATTGTTGTCTGTGACCCATGTGAACCTACGACGCCCAAGGAGGAAGTGCCACCAGCGCTTGAGAGCCATCACAAATGCGAGCAGCTCCTTCTTCCTTGCATCATCAAGCGAGTTGATGGGAGACACTTTGTGGCTGAAATACTCCACAGGGTGTCAGTCGTCGTCGTCGTGTTGTTCCAAGACTGCCCCAATGCCATAGCCGGAAGCGTCCGTAGTCACTCGCGTCGGCAGGGTGGGGTCATAGATGCTAAGGACGGGTGCCATGAGCATAGCCGTCTTAAGTGCATGGAATGACCAGCGTGCGTCGTCATCGAATACGAATGGCACCTTTGGCGACTGTAACCTCGTCATAGGTGCAGCAATCCTGGAGTATCCGGTGGTGAATCGCTGATAGTAGCCCGCCAACCCCATGAATGAACAAACGTTTGTGGTGTTGGTGGGCTCGGGCCATACTCGTAGGGCCTCGATCTTGTCCGCAAGCGGACGGATGCCTCGCTGTGTCACATAGTGTCCCAAGTACTCCAGCTCCTGCTGTGCGAACTCGCACTTGTCGCGGTTTGCTTTGTACTTGGCCTGTCGTAGCCGCTCCAAAACGGTGCGCAGGTGTTCCACATGCTCGTCCAGACTCCGACTGTAGACCAGAATGTCGTTGAGGTAGATAAGTACGAAACGATCTAGCATGTGTCGGAACTCCGTTGTCATAGCCGCTTGGAAAGTGGTTGGGGCATTCGTAAGGCCAAATGGCATGACCAGCCATTCGATATGCCCATACCGTGTCTTGAACGCGGTCTTGTAGCTACCCTCCTTGCGAATCTCGAGTTGGTGGTACCCTGACTTGAGATCCAGCTTAGAGAAGAACTGGGCGCCGCCCAATCGCTCGAGAAGATCATCGATGCGTGGGAGAGGGCCGGCGTTCTTGATCGTCTGCGAGTTGAGCTTGCGATAATCGATGCACAACTGCAGGTCCTTGTTCTTCTTCCGGACGAAGAGAACGGGAACACCGTATGGCGATGAGCTAGGCCGAATCCAGCCTTTCTCCAGAAGGTCGTCGAGTTGTGCCCGAAGCACACTTAACTCTTCCTCGCTCATTCGGTAGATGCAACCGCGCGGAGGTATGGCCCCGTCCTCGAGGATGATCTCGTGGCGGATGGGTCGATCCGGTACTACTCCGTGCGGGCCTTCGAACACGTCGCTGTAGGCGTCGAGAAGTTCGGTGATGCGTGGATCCGAAGGTGAGTCCGTCGATGAAGCGTCATGGGGCGGGAGGGCGTGGAGAAAACACACCGCCTTCTCCTCGATGTCGTCTCTGATGATAGAAGCTCGCATGCTTGCGGCGGATACCACATGGCAGCTGATCGAAGGATGAGGAAGGGGCACCGTGCATGGAACTAATACTCCGTTCCGATCACGAATATGAACGGTGCGTTTGAAGAAGTTCACTGGGTGATCCTCGCTTCGCAGCCATGACATGCCCAAGATCATGTCGAATTTGGTGTCCAGAATGTCAAAGGACACCGCCTCACTTGCGTGAGGGGCAAAGTGCACTGGGACGGCGTCAATGCACTGGTCGATGGACTTGTGTGTATGACCGTCTGCCAGAGTAACTTGCGTAGGCTGGGACTTCCTCCGGACACGTGGGCCAAGGCCGACGCGTACCTGGCTGATGTAGTTGCGAGATGCTCCGCAATCGACCAAGGCGTTGCAGATCGCCTCTCCGATCTGAATGCGTACACATAGCAATGGTGCGTGGATGTCGTCGTACCATTGCGTCTTGAACTCGCGGTCGATCTTCACAATGTAAGCGTGAAGGTCGACTACCTCTACTCCGGCGTCCATCAACGGAGCTGGTACTGCAATGTGCAAGTAATCCTGCAATTGTGCCATAAGCACGTTGCAATGCGGTTTCGGCAATCGTCCGGTCGAGGGAACGGGCATCCACTGGAAGTCCGTGAACATCAACGGATCAAGCTCTTCAAGTCTTGACCATGACGTCGAGTCCCTGGCGATAGATTGCGGCGAAGCTGCCGAATCTGTTGCCGATGGTGATGAAACCGTGCATGCGGTGGACTGTTGCACGTGGAGCGGTTGGTCCAGCGGTGGAACCAAGTGGACAACATAGTCCTCGTAAGTGTACCGAGGACTTGCGACATTCGCGTTCTCCCCAGATGTGCAGGAGGCCGCTAGCAAGGCGACCGAATCTGGCGGAGTAGAAGGTGGAGTCGCTTCACCTTCCGCGGAGCTCAGTTTCCCGAGCTGAGGCGGGGTCGCACATCCTCCTTGTCCTGATCTTGGCACAGGGAGGTCTTGTGCTTGGTGCTGTTGCACCAGTAGTAGTTGCCGTAGCGGCCGCGGACTTTGTACTCCGCCTCGGTCAAGCCAAACTTGACCCATGGAACTTGTACTGGCTGTCCATTTCCGGCCTGCGATGCGGATTTCGCCTTCCCATTGTTGCGGGACTTGTTGTTGCTTCGCGGCTGGACAGCAGCCACCTGATCTCCGTCACTTGATGCTGGAGTGGCTGCTGGGTTATCTCCACTGTCCTGCTGGACTGCAGCGAAGTGCTGCTGTCGCGGACCAGTTCGTACCTTCTCCACATAGGTCGACTGCCATGTTGATTTCTCGTGTGCAGTTGACCTATTGGTCTTGATGATCTCTCTCGCCTTGTCGATAATCTCGGCGAAAGTGGAGTACTGCTCGCGATCACCAAGAGCCTGGCTCAATGCACCACAGGACCTGTTGTAGAACTCACGGCGTAGATCCTCGAATGGTGATTTCTCGTGTGCAGGTTGGGCACTGCCGCAATCTTCTGCCACTCCATGAGCAAGTCCCGTGTTGCTGTGTTGCCCTGTGACATGGTGAACAAACGGTTGATGGCGAGTGTCGGCGCGTCGTCGACGATGAACCGCTTCTTCCACAGCCGTGTTAGTTCCTCCCATGTGATTTTGTCCTTCAAGTCTGGTACGTCGGTGCCGTGGGAGGTTGCCAGGTGGCTCAACCAGGTCTGGCATCCGCCCTTTGAGTTCAGGAACAGGGCGCCGATGTACGCATGCTTGACTACGAGCAGAATCCTGAGTTGCGTTGTGAATGCTTCCCACCAGAGGACCGGATCCTGCTGCGTGTAGTCGTCGAACCTCTCCAGGTTGAAAGTTGGCATCTTGTACATCTTCGGATTGTCGTCCGCGTTCGTCGACTACAGCTTCTGGACCTCGGTCTTAAATGTATGCAACTGACTACTGATGGTGGTGGTCGGCGCAGCGAAAGTGCTGATGTCGCCGAGCATTGCCACTACGTGGTCAACGCGGTCCTCCACTTGGCGGCTAGAGGGTGCACTGCTGGAAGCCCCAGCAGCTGGTCCTGGTACAGCCTGTTCCAGGTCCAGCAATCGGGCATTGAGTGCCCGAGTTGCATCCTCCTGGCTCTGCACCATGCGGCGGAGCTGTGCCAACTCCTGATGCTGTTGCGTCAGGTCCTGGTACAGTCTCTCCAACTCTGACCGTTGGTAGTTGCAAGCGTACAACAACCTTGTCACGAGTTTGGAGAGGAACTCCTTGTGCTTCTCTTCCGGTGTTGCCTCGTCGCCGTTCGGTTTGAAATGCCAGAACTTGAGTCTGTCGATGCTGTTGGCTTCATGCCGCTGCAGCAGATCCTGGGCTTCCTTGCGGCGAGCCTGGGCATCTGCGTCTGCATCGGCCTGTAGCTGCAGTTGCTCTACTGCTGCTGCCTCTTCAGCCTGTACGTGGGCAGCCTCGGCTGCCAGCTGGCGTTGTTCCTCAGCCTCTATCTGAGCCTGGAACCGCTGCTTGTAGGCTGCAAGGGACTCGTTGGGCAGTTGGCCTGGCAGGCCCGTCATGTTGCTTACGTGGCACTGCTACTTACGTGGCACTGCTGATGTGGCACTGCTGACGTGGCCCTGTGTCTGACGTGGTACTGCTGACGTGGCATTGCTGACATGGCACTGCTGACGTGGCACTGTGTCTGACGTGGCATTGTGACC